TGCCCAGTCTTTGCCAGATGGGAAAATCTTTGTCTTTGCATCTCTGCTTCCCCAGTGTGAGGGACAGACAGACCCGAGGCAGCAGCATCACGGTGGGTCCTGCAGAGAGGGGCTGCAGGTGGTGCATCATGTGCCAGTGCACTGCGGGATGCTGAGAGCAAAGGGAGATTTCAGGCATCCCCTTTTCTTGCACCTCTGCTGGCAACTGCACGGCCCATGCCTGGATGTGTGACTCTTTCCAGTAAGGAAACTGGGAAATCGCACGCTTAACTTCTGCTCAGGAATTGCAAAGCAGGAGCCAAGAAGTTTCCAGGGAAACCCGTTTCATAACCTGGACTGCAGTGTTTTAGCTTCCAGACTGAAACGGAATTTATTTTCATGATATTAAACTCTTATATCCCACAATTATTTTCTGTCTGTGTCTACACAGTGACATGTACTCGTGTTTCACACACACTTTGAACCATCAAAAGACAGGCCAAATGCTGCTATGTGCTGTGCACGAATCATAGAGCCACACTGAAGTTGACAGATTTGTGAAGTTAGACCATGTCTGGATAAAATCGCTGTGCGCTCAGATCAGCGGTACTACAGCACGGGAGTGACCACACCATCCTCAAAGCCTACCTGCTGAGCTGAGGAGGACCCTGACAGCTTCAGTAAAAACCTTTCCCTGCACTTTTGACGCCAACCATTGCTACAAGACATTCCAGGGCCATCTCCAAACTGTGTGTTTTAGCTAGGGAGTGGTGTCAGGATTGTTAAGCCCATGCTCTCAAGCTCCGTGCTCACAGATCCCAGAAGACATTTCCCTATTCTGGATATCCAGGAAAGTCCTTCTGGCAGTCTGTGGTATGAGCCTTTGGCAAAATAATCCTGTGAGTAAAACCACCATCTCCAGGAAGAGCAAAACACTCACCTTCCTGGGGATGCTGAGCAGGATGGCGGGACCAAAGAGATGCCGCATCAGACTTTGGGTTTGCATAGAAAACAAAAAATGATGAAATGCAGAAACAACAACAACAGAAAAGGTATTTATAATTTTCCCCGAATGTTGTGTGTTTGTGAAAACGCTGTCTCTGCCATTAACACAACTTTGACTTGGTTAAAACCCAACCCACCAAACAAAATCATTCTTCAGGTTTTTGGGCTACCATTCAGGCCAGGCTACACAACTCAGTTTCAGCAGGTAAATAGTCCCAGATATTTCATTCAATGTTTGAGTATTATTACATTGTAATTCTTTCCATGTATCTATTGCATAGAAGGTGAATTTTAACAATGAAATTAGAAATGGATTTTTTTTTTTTTTCTGTGAAAATTAACAGAATCACATATTGACTTGATCAGATGAGCCCAAACTTGCATGTGCTATTTTCACTACATGTTACTGGCAGCAGAAGTAACACAGGAGCAAGTTTTGCTGCTAGCAAACTGGGCACACATTCTGGTTTCTCACTGGTTTACACCTGTGCTAGTGAAGCAGAATCCACAATAATAGGTTGAGGTCCACATTATAGGCTGAACTCTAGTGAAATATATCTGAAGGCAGGATATGCCTGAACTTAAGCAATTTTCTAGTCAAACCTCCACATGATCAGTCAATTTAACATAATTTTTATGTTGAGCACATAGGCACTTTATTGCTGTAAAGCTCTCAATACAATTTAATCCCTTGCAGATCAAAGCTCTCACTGTGCAGTTCTTGGCACGGTGATGACTTTGGATGTAGGATAGTGGAGTACTAAGAATTTGCTCTCAACTAGGTTCTAAAGAAAAAAAATAATCTGAGTTCAAGTCACTGTCTGGAATTGATCTATTTTGAATACGTACCAAGAAAAGTGAAATCAGAATCTGTTTCTCTGAACCGTCACCTAAAGGATGTCTGTTGTACTTAGCATTTTTCATCACTTATGCAACCTGAATGCGAAATATATTCAGACATCTTTTAAAAAAGTGAATTTACTTATGTTGGCATATGAGTGGTGATAAAGTCCTGAAACACATCCATTCGTTCATCTGATCTACATACATAATTAAGCAGCTTTAGGGGAAGCTTATCTGGAAAAGGAGTCTCCTTCACAGAGTGAACTACAAGATGTGACATCCATATTAACCACAGCTCCTTCTACCCCTCCAAACACGGAGAATGGCTTCTTGTGGAGAAATGATGGCTCCTGCCGCAGGGGAAACAGCAAAGGCAGCATCTGTCCTGGTGCTCTTCACTACACAGCAGCAAAGCAAAGGGTTAGTCATCTTAGCGTGGCAGGCCCTGTGGTAACACTTGGTTTGAAAGATATGTAGCTGTGGATTCGTTCGTCTCACAGAAACAAATAAACGTTTATGTTCTCTATCAAATTTTAAATAACGCCCAAGATCAGGGAACCGCAGGAGGTGTTCAGTCTGGCAAGGGGAGGTCAAGCCAACGGTAGAGGTGCTCCTCCTGCCCAGGTGTGGCTGTTCTGCACACCTGAGTCAGAGCACACCACTGCCCTCCTCCCATCTCAATCTCCATCTGCTCAAGGAACAGCAGAAAGGAACTGAGAGAGACCCATGCTGTTAAAACACTGAATTTCCTACAAATGGAGTCTTTTCCTGGAAAAAAAAGAACACCAAAAAAAACCCCAAAAGGTTCTAGAACAATAACAAAATTAATCTCATGATCTTAAACCATGTGAGCACCACCTAGAGATTTAAAATTCAACAAATGTTGGCAGCGGACTTCATCCTACTGATCTGCTTTGAGAATGCTGATGCATTTACAGTAAATCCCTAACCAGGCCAGTTGTGCAACAAGTTGAAGTGACACAAACTATTAACACTTATGGTGGTGAGTCAAAATCAAACAAACATCCTTCTTTTATAAGCTTTCTCACAGCATGTAGTAGCATGTACTGCGAGTAATGAAACATCTGTTACAGCCCCGACTCTCTCGCAACCGAGCGAGTGTTGCAATCGTTCTGCAGGGCCAGGCTTCATGTCTGGGCTGTAGTGGGTAGATGAAAAGCATTGGCAATGGACAATGCTCATCTCGGTTGATTCAGGAAGGATGAAATAAAATAGTAATAAAAAAAAAATAAAATAAAGCCTCTTCAAGAGACAGGTTTCCTGTGTATAAAATAAAAAAGTACCACATTGCACAGTGTCCAAAACTAACTTTAAGTCCAGACTGAGAGATTTATTTTGATGATGCTTGCAGTTCATCTGCGTGCCCAGAATGTCCCTTTCCAGTAGGTATGGGAAGAAAAGTGAATTATAAAATACGCTTAGACGCTTCACTCCTGTATAAAGTTACCTTCAGAGGCAGAAGGCTTCTCCTCCTGCACAGGGGCAAAGGGTCTCCCTGACTTCTGGGTATTGCCCAGGGTGAAGCAAGGCTCATTGTCCACCCCCCTGTCCGTACCCTCCTGGGAAGTTTTGACACTGACCACAAAGACTTGGCCGGGTTTGCTCCATCGCCTGGCCGGCATAAAAGGAGTCAACAAAATTCCTGGGAGTCAGAAATTTAAGACTGGATGCTGCACAACATGTACTAATTAAATATAGGCATACTCTCATTTCCCATCAGTTAAAATCTGTTCTTAAAAAGCACTTGTTTGAGGGCTTTGCTGACTAGAAATAGTTTCCTGTGTCTGTGAATGCTTTTACATTAGACCTTAAAGACTATGTCTGCTTCGGATATGAGTGATGACTGTAAGCTGTGCAGTCCTACCAGCTATTACAGAACCGGAACACAGAAGACAGATTTGTTTGGGTTTTTCTTTTTTCCAGCTCAACAAGTAATTAAGATATACTAAAATTTGTATATCACTATAGCAAAATTCACAGAACCATTTTCATGGGAAAAGTTTTCTTTTAAGAGTAGAGGTTGTTGCTCAGAGCTTGCTCAGCATTAAGCCTTTAGGCAAGTTCCTGAAGAAGGTATGAAGGGCTTGCATTCTCATCTACTGCACTTCTATACTGTGCTCAGAAGTGTTCAGAGGAAAATTCCCTCGGTCTCCTGCTTTAATGTGTTTTTCTTCCAGAGTGTCTGTGCAGAAGCAGAGTTAATGATTCCTACCTGCCTCCCCCTCTCAGTTCTGAAATACTTCCTCTCCATTTTTTTTTTTTTTCCCAAGGGAGGAACTTTTCTTGCTCATTTATGGCCCCAGATTACTGATCTCACTCTGTTTGTATTGCAAACCTTGAACCCTTCAATCAGAACAGGGATATCTGCGTAGCACCCACAGAGATTAACAGAAAATTCACCTCTGTGGAATTCCCCCTTATTTCAGACCATGAGAAGAGTGAGAGACTTTAATATTAAGAAACCAGCAAGGTAACGAAGTCGACAGCGTGCAGCAGCCAGTTGTTTCACTCTTGTCCTTCACCTCCCCTTCCCTCTGATTTTTTCAGATCATTGCATATTTTATCCTGTCACAATTTAAATTTCAAGCTTTCTGGCTCAAGACTGTGTCTGTATATGAATTTCTGAAGTTCACAGATTTGGGTACTCAAGAAGCAGTTAGAAGAGCACAGTTTCAGAAACTTGGAACAACTGTTTAATTAAAAAGCTCTCCTGCCCAACAGGGTCTCTGCATCACCTTCCAGCTCCACAAGCAGCGAGCAGAAATAACAGACTTGTTTGTATCAAACAGACTCTATTGTTTTTATTAATCAGTGTTACACGTACAGGTTAATTAAAAAAGCTACAGTTTGGGAAATATGTCATCTAGCTACAAGATACGAATCTAGGCCGATTGCCATGGTATCTATTGATGCTCAGCCACTGTAAAAAAATTACAGTTTATTTTCTGATATACAAAACCTCAAGCAAACGTTCCCCGTTACACATTCAGTAAAGCTCACAGCATTCTACTACATAGTTTCATATAGTGTTTTAGTGCAAAAGGAAGTACAAATATAAAAATACTGAGGTTTGAATTAAAAAAAAAAAAAACAAACAAACAAAAAAACGAACCCAAAAAACCCCAACAAAAACCCAAAAGCAAGCTGTGGAGTTAGAGGTGAGTGTCTGCTATGGGTATTCTTCTAAGCTCTACGATCTGGGAGTTCGCCATGCTGCCACCGTCCTGGCTGCCATGACAAGATTCGTTATCGCTGACGCTGAGGCCTGCACCTGAAACAGCCAAAGGAACAAACAAACAAACAAACGAATCAGTGAGAATGACATCCTGACACAAAACCGGTGATATTGTGTCCTGCTCTGCTTTACTCCGATTACTGAAATGCTTCCCTACCCCACAGCGGTGTGGCAAGTTCTTAGTACTCCACAATTCTGCATCCACGGATTATAACATCATCTGACGTAGTTTTTTTACCATCCAGATACGCTTTTTCACAATTCCACTGTCAGTCACTTTATTTGTCTCAGTAAACGGTACAATAGCTATTCAGAGGTTGCCTTGAAATCACAAGAGCATAAATCAAGGCCTGGCTTAGGCCGGGTTCGTGGTCTGGCTGTAATAGTCTGGTATTTCCCAGGACTTCTTCACGAAGAATTGATTTTTAATGATACAATTTCCCTGTTAAACTACAATTCCAGCTGTTTTAATAGGACTGTAATTTCAACATGAGAAAAGACGCTGACTAAATATTCTTTAAACCCACATTTGGCACAAGCTGGTGTATTGTGTTTTTCTTCTACTGTGAGAGAATACTAGACTTTGGCCCATGGAAACTTCCAAAACACGTCTGGAAGAGACCTCACGAGGCCACCTTCTCCATCCTTTTGTCAAGGGAGTTCTGCTAGCTTGTTGCTTCCTTGTTTTTACAAGATTTGTTGTTTGGGTTTTGTTGTTTTTTTGGGTTTTTTTTGGGGGGGTGTGTTTGAGTTGATTAGTGTAAAAATACATAACCCTGCACTAGTTTTTATGAAATGTATATTTTTTCAGACCATAGAATATTGATTGCAACTATAAACTTCAGTGCATTTTCAGCTCCTCTCTTTGAGTTGTAGAGCGAATCCTGAAAAAATATATGGGTCTTGTTAGGGTTTAGAGCACTTGGGCTTTAAATTTGTTGAGAACTGCACATCAGTGTAATTAGGCATGGCAATTTCAAGACAGACTAATTTCAGACATGGTCTTACAGCAATGTCACTTACAAATAACTATGCAAGTCATTCATTTTGGGCAGAAGTAGATCTGTAACTACATGCAATTCAGGGGAGTTGCAAAGGAATAACATTTAGTTCAAAAAGCCCCGAACAGGGTATGCTGGGAGAGGCAGTGATTTGCATTTTCATACTAAAAAATATTTTCAGGAACTTCTATCAGCTGTACAATGCATCTCTTATTTCTGCCTCAGCTGACATTCCAGGCTTTGGCTTGTTTGGCAAAAGACAAGATAAGGTTCATTACTTTCTTGGAACTACCTCAGAACTTTCTATGCCCCCTATTGTTCCACTGTCACTGACTTTTTCCATAGCACCTCTCCTTCCACCACCACCCAAGCAGGGATGATGTATGGAAAAGGGGGCAGTGGTGGGATGCTCCCTTCCTGTGGGAACTCAGGCTGCAATCTTGAATATGGAGCTTGGTCCAGAGAACTTGAGCAGAAGAACCTGCAGGACCAGGCAGGCTTTCCTGCGGAAGTCTGGGAGTAGTCCTGCTAGAGGCCAAACTCAGCTGCGTGAGCCCACCCCTACTGCATCTGGGTGAAAAGTGAGTATTTCTGCACTGTGATGCTGCTTACACCTGATTTTGGTGTTTGGGTCGCATTGACATAATTTCTACCAGATGAGTCCTGTTCTTGGGTCTGCATGACCCAAGCTCTTGAGACACCAGCAGTTACTGTCAGAGTACGACAAGAGTAAAAATCCACTAATGTGCAGAGATATAATAATAAAGACAAGAAGATTAGGCTCTGAATCATTAAAATACTTGTTTATAAGTGTACTGAAGATGATTAAGCTGTACTTACTGATTTAAATTTATATGCATATTTGACCTTTTCATTGAATCATGGTCTAAAAACTAAAAGCTGCTTGAAAGTCCTGGGAAAAACAACAATTGCATCAGCAAGTTGTTTGTGGGTTTTGTTTTTTTTTTCCTTATCTTCTCTAAAACTGTTTGTTTTAGAAAGGAAACATGAATGTAATAGAGAAGATAAATCAGACTGCTGTATTTACCATTTGGGGATGGAAGAACAAAGTAATAACCTTGAAGTAAAAAAAAATACTTTGAATGGAGAAACAAAACAAAACTTATTATGTAGCATCATTAGCATTGAAATTCACTAAAAACATTTCTTTAGGCTGAAGAGGGTACAAATTCCAAAAAGGAAAAAAATACATTATTGAAAAAGCTTAAAATCGTATTATATAAATATGATCATCCACGGTTCAGATTTCAAGGTGAATGCTGACTGTTGGGGTTAGAAAAATATTTGTCTTCCTGGTGGTTATACTGTAATTATTCAATACGGGGTTTCTTAACGAATCTGGTGTTGGTCACTACAAAAAGATCAGATACTGGTCTAATACGGTATTACACTACATATCTTCTTAAATATCATATACGTGCATGCTTTGTCCACACGCTGTGCAAAGTAAGAGGGGATGGTTTTTTTTGTTACAGACGTTCTTATCAGCAACTTGGTAAACCAGAGCCTGAAGTAGGCTACTTTGGGTGTACGAGGGCCTTGTTCTGCTGCTGATGCAAAGCCAAACTATGCAAGAGCGGATCCTTTTTAGGAATAAGAGCTGAAATGTAATCAGGATACCAGCTTACCACACAGTCGCCAGGCTGGGGAGGGCACGACTGTTTACACGATGGAGTTTCACAGAGCTCATAGGTCTGGCTTGTTGTCAGATTAGAGCAGAATTTGAACACAATCAGATCTGAGAAAGCATGTGCTCCCCGAGAAATGCTAGAGTTGGATGGTAGGTACACAGCAGGGGAGGAGTATTACTTTTCCCCAGTTTGTGAAGAAACTATTTTAAGAGAAAGACGCAGGAAAGTGAGGCCTCTCTTCCTTTCTTTATGTATCAAAGGACTAACTAGAAGCTGAGAAGTCACAGCTGGCATTGCAAGGCCAGCCAGATCCCTCCAGTGACATCTACTGGCTGAAGGATTTCTTCAGGGCATTCCCACGTGTCCTTGAACACCAGCTTTTATCATCTGCTTGTTCAGATACATCGCGGACTTTCACTAAAACATTTTAAGGGAGGCGGAGTTTGTTTTGTAATTACTGTACTCATGTCTCTGGGGAGAGTTTTTATCTCATAAGCACTTCCATCTTGCTTTCTGAATAAATCATGACTTATAACATATCTGTAAGATGTATTAGAAATGAATAAACTACACAAACCAACTTTAATTCTTCTTTCAGGGTTTTGATTCTACAGAAACGACACCAGCAGATATCCAGTCTTCTATGAATAAAGTTCAGATTGGACTAAAAAAGCTTCCTGGATGTTACTCAAGTCACGTTCAACAGCCAGCAGATCGCATATTGGTGAGCAACAACAAATGAGAAGTTGAATGAATACGCAAACTGGCTACCCTTCCTTCCTTTTTTTTTTTTTTTTTTTCTGTGAAGTGAGACCTTCAAAACAGAAATGACGTGGGTTGATAAGGCAGGGCACGAATCTGGCACTTTGCCACCATCTACAATTTATCTGCCCCATGACAGACAGTCTCCAGGATGTCGCACAGAACACCTTTCAGAGTTTGAAATGTCATTCTTGTCCTCTAGTTCTGCATGCCCAACGTGAGACGCTTAATTCTTAAACCAGGCATCTACAGTGATAACACCAAGATTTAAAAAAAATGCTGACTTTGGGACCCTAGGGGTATTGCATGGAAAATGATGAGTTGGTTTATACAACATCATTACTGTAATAGCTGCATTTGTGATGGGTTTTTAACTTATACAGCAGATTTTTTGCAGGTATTCTCCATGTAGAATACTAATTTAGGATTTATCGCGTATGCCTCTATTAAAAGCAAAACTGCGACACTCTAACCTATAAAGGTCTTTCCTACAGGGGTGGGTCACCAGTCAGCAGTGGAGGGGTTTGGGCCCCTCTCAAAGGCTTTTCTGTGTTTTGCATTCACATCTCACCCAAAGGAAGGAATCGGTCCAGTTTTGCACATCACAGAACGGGGAGGACAAGAGCCTTTGTAGGAGATGGGAACACGGATGGAAGGTCAGAGACCAGCAAAGCTATCGTGCATTTGGGGTGTTTATGCTTTCAAGCAAAGCTGAGGGACAGCGTGCTGCTTTGGGGCAGATTCCATCTACTTTTATCCTCTTAGCTCCTTTTTTAACTCCCCAGCCCTAACCAGAGTAGAAGTCCTCAGGGAATTCTGCTATATTGGGCTTTAGCCTCAATGACGGTAATATATGACTCTGTGACAATCTGGAAGGCAATGGTGTTATTAAATTGTCTATCAATATAAACCTTGCACAAGAAATCAGAGAAAAAAATGAGATCTAGCCCAAAATGACAGCACTTTTAAAATTAGTTAGTACAATTAACAAAAACTAATTAGTACATAATTGTCCTTCTCAGTAGAAGCTACGCCTTTTTTTCATTATAAAAGCCATAAATGAAATACAATAAAATAAATAATTTAAGCCCAATTTATAAACATTTAAAAAAATAATGCTTTAGCACATACCAATAGGCAGGACGCGTCCCTAAATTATTTTTTCCTATCATAATTGCTCTGACATTTCCTGCACATAAACTGCCTTGGAGCTGGCTTTCCTTCCAAAAGATTCCCTCAGTATAAAAGGTGATACAGTGACCGTAGTGAATCCTAACTATGTACTTCTGTATGGAAATGAACATATTTGATGGAAAGGAGGAGTTAATTGATAAGACATTCAGAGGCCATGGCTCTATGACATAAGAAGTCCAGCTTTTGGATGTCTTTGCACCAAAGAAAGAATTCTACGGCCATGTGATGCGAAGCTTGCAAAAAGCTGTCGTAAAAGCTGGCTAAGAAACAGTACACTGTTGTCCCCCTAAGTTGCTAGAAATGCAGTTGTATGCCTTCATCCGACCCAGTCCGTATTTCAGGTTAATCTGTAATTAGGCCCAGCATTAATGATTATGGAACCAAGGGCTAAGTGCATAGTTCTACGACACATTTATTTAGCAATAAGGCCAAGTGTGCCAACGCATCTATTTGCGGAGCTGCACTGCAAACTGCAAGTTACTAAACCATTGCAAGTTAAAGAATAAAGTTGTGCTCTGTGTGTGTGTGTGGGGGGGATCTGCTTGATTATTTTTTTAACCTGCATCAGTCATCCTTTATTTCTACTGCCGAGAGCTGCCAGATGCCGTGCAAGGGTGGGGCAGGGGGCGGAATGAGATTTTAGCTTTGCTGTGATTATACCCTCATTCTCGCTGATCCCAGCCGCTAGATTAAACCTTGCGGCTACAGGCAGTTGAGCATAAATTAAAGTAACCTTCAGACAGCTCCAAACTACATAAGCAGAAAGGACAGATGAAGTGCAAAGAGGCATAAAGACATTTTTGCATATTCCTCTGCTAATCAGTGCTGATCCTCAGCCAGCCTTCAGTGCGGGAGCTAATATTTTAGCACAGCTAAGGGTGAGTTTGGTTATAGATTGACAGTTTTAGGTAACGACAGATAATGGAGGTTTCTGTTTCTGCTTATCAGAGGTGAAGCTCGAGCAATAGCAGAGCAACCATTTCTATTCTTCCTCTACGCCCAAATGCCATACCTCCCAGTTTAGGAGTGACAAAACCAGTTAATGTGGTGCAAAGCACCTTTTCCCTGCTCTCCCAGGGGGTCCTCTGCTCGAGATGAGGAATTCTCAGCCTACAGGAAATAAAGCCTGGGCTAAAAACATTTGAGAAGCACAGCTTACGGCCAATGACAGAGGTGAGCAAGGCAGCAAAAAGGTGCCCCAGTTGCCCATGCACTTCAGCCTACTTAGAGAAGAGGTGGTGGTCTTCCAGTTGATGATGACCACTGCTTCTGTGGAGCTGGGACTGGTGCTCAAAGGGCAAACTGATGCAGAGTGGCAAGGGAAGAGGCGGGGAGGAAGAGGAGCCTTGAGTTGTTGCGGTTTCACGTGAGTATGAGCAACGATGCAAGAGAGGAAGAAGAAACGTGCTGCCAGGAGGCACCAGGAGACAGGCTCCTCGCTGTGCCTGCTAGCTTAACTGTACCATAAAACTCCTGTCAGACCACAGCTCAGTGACTGCTTTGGCAGCATAAGCCTGTGCTGCCAAACAGAGAAGATATCCCACTTTCCACCTCCTCATCTACTTTTTTATTGCTTCCACGTGGTTCCCTCCCTCATGCCATCAGGACCACCTTGACTCCTTGGCTGTGCACTGAACTGGACTGAAGAGCAGGTCTGGGTGAAAACAATAAAACAGACACCACTTTTAGTTACAGAAAAGCTCACATTTTTTTGGCTTAAAGTATGTGTTTAGCTACAGCTCGTATCTAAGGCAATAGCTGATAAACATTTACTTTGGTGGTTAAAGCTACTTTAACCAAAACACCACCTCCTCATTTTGGTTTGTTTAAATGTGTGTGGGGCTGGAACCAGGTTGGGCAACTGGTTTGGCTTAGAAATCATCTTTTTTTTTTTTTGCCCCTGTAATGTTGCTGGGGACACAGTTTGGGCACACAAATAAACATTGGGGTAAAGTGGTCAGGTACTACTTGAATCAGTAATACAAACAAAAGTATCCTTCTCCAAGTGCAACCTGAGGTCTCTGCTTCAAATCACATAAATACAAAAGGCTTACAAGAACAAACAGTAATAACATATTAATAAAGAAGACATTGATAAAGTTTTGGCAAAATAACCTAAAGCTGGTTCTAGACCTACTTCCTTCAGAAAACAAATTAACTAAGGATGGAGCTTGAAGATTTATTAAAAAAATCATTAAATGCTAAAGTTGTGGTGAATTGTATTCACCACGAGTTTTAACTACTGCTGTTGCCTAGATTGTTCTTCATGATTTAAGACTCAGCTTTCCACAGTGCGTAGAGTTTACTGCAGAAAATAGGCCAACTGATGTCAAATCAGCTGCTTAAGCAGTAAACACTGTATGTGATGGTGGGAGTGTTAGATGTGAATGGCTTCATATCTTATTAACTATCTGAGAATTATATGGTTTCCTTAAAAATATTCAGGAAGGAGTAAAAAGTTAAAACCTACCTTCTTAGGTACTTAAAAAATGTTTGCAGTTGTAAGCTTATGGACCTAGACTTGAAAGTCTCGCTCAAAATCTTTATCTGCATAACATAGTAGAAGTAGTCTGCAAAGTGTCCAGGACAATTAATAGGTACAATACAGATTTTGTGACAATCTTCATAAAAATTTGTATTTCTTAGCATTAGGCCAGTTATTAATCATCCAATTATCTTCATAATTAGGAAGTCTTCTGCAATGGAAATTGGCTTAGGAGATAAAGTATTATGACTATACTGAATAAAACTACCTCTTCATTAGCAGCATTCCCAGTCTTCCAATCAGTTTGACTGTTTTCCTTGGCGTCACTGAAGGGAACAAACATCTGAAATTATCAGTGCCAGACCACTTAACCTGCTAATGTCACCGGTACCTTGCAGTTGTCTCTTGCAAGGCTTGATGGTACCCCCAAAGATTATCCAGGTGACCTCCTACTACCAAGCTTGTCCATATTTATTTCACCTGGTGCCTAGACGAGGTGGGTTTGGGTTGGCCATTGGCCAGGTCTTATCAGGTGGTGCTCCTTTGCCTTCGTGGTCATCTTATCAGTCATTCCCATGTTGACCTATCTTTGAATCAGGTTTCACTTCATTTCTTCCACTTGTGGCTATGTCTGGCTATCTGTTTATATCATCATTTGGATAACCTGAAGTTTCATTGGTGGAGTAGGTAAGAAGGCAGAAAAGCAACGCGTAATTGAGAACAAAGCCTGGGATTTTGCAGACTTGAACTCTAAGGGTATTGAGGGGAATCTGATTACAAATGTCTTGTTTTGCAGGTGTGCTTTGAGTTTGGACACCTAGAGTGGCCTCCCCTGCTTCTGTCCTCCAGCAGCATGGTGAGCTCATCACAGATGGCTCTGGTGTTAGGCCAGAAGTCTGTCTAGTTTATCTTTCCGGTGTACGCCATTTTTTCAGATCCAAATGTATTTTGTATAAATATTTTGCTCTATACTTATTGGGAGAATCAATTTTTATGAAGTTATGCTATTTTTCACAGATATATATATAAAAAAAATAAAGATAGGTATTGTATATACTCTATATATCAATTTGAAAAATAAAGGAAAAGACGGGGCATGTCTAGAGGCAGCAAGTTAGCCATTTCAGCACTTGTGAAAAAATGTCAGACCCTCCAATCTGCTGCTACTTTCTGTAGGTCTGCTTATTATCATGACTCAAAATGTATTTTTGCAGACTCCTTCTCTGTTATTTTAGGTAGCTTGCACAATATTTTTTGTGCAATAGCAGTCCAAGGCAAAACAATTTTACTTCAGATTTTCACTGGCAATCAGACTGTATTAACGGATCTCGTTAACTGGATCATGATACCATTATGGTGAAGAACAACATAACAACCTGCGAGGAACAAGGAGAAGAGTCACTCACCAGTCTTTAAAGCAAATATTAGGTCATCGAACTCCTGAGATTCCTCATCAGCAACCAATGAGCTGGTACTAAATCCTCCAGAAGGGTGGAAAACATTGCCATTTTGTGGACTCTGCTTAAAGGCAGCACTAGCTTGACCAGCAGGCTGCAAGGATGCCCTCTCCCAGTCTGCGGGCACCTGCACAGTTTAAAAAGACACAGAAATGCAGTAGTCATCAACACTATCGTGCAGAAACTGGAAACCGTGACTAGAGCCAAACTCAAGACCAAGAGATTTTGGAACCAGCTATTCTGTCACTTCTGTAGTGAACAAGGTAGCCTTTCTTTTTTCTTTAATAATATATATATGTAACTCTATTACAAGACATTTAACCCTGTGTTTATGTACCTGTCCTAGCTATCTCAGAAACTTGGAAAACTATTGCTATTTCTGAACATTGGCCTCTGGTATGGAGAACTTCAAATTAAAGCACTGAAATGTTCCAGCTCACTCCTCTCTTACCACTGCCTCTTCCTCTCCTGGACCCTGCTTCTCTTTTCCATAACCTCTAATCATAGTTACTTGCCAATATATGAGTTACAGCTGGGAACCCACTGCTTCCCATGTTTATCAATACAACATTTTAAAGTAATTTGCCAGTCTTTGAAGGTTCTGGTGGTGGTATGAAGCCCTCCAGTTTTGATATCAACCTTGCTATAGTTCACCTGCCACTTCAGGAGCTGTACAAAAAATTGGAATTTCAGTTCATGAGAAAAGAGGTGGTTTTGAAAATCTATCTACTCCTTACATGTGATGAAAAGCTGAAATACTGAACTCTAAAGAAACCATGTATTTTAGGACAATCACAATATATTTTCTTGGTTTATTGCTCATCCACTGCTCTACATAAAAGCTTGCCATGTAGAGTTGAGAAGCTATGATGCCCACTAAACTGGGGATCCAGGCACCACCTTCAGTGAGATGATGAGAAGTTGAATAAATTTAGTGGTCCAACAAGAGGCAGCTGAGGAGCTTTAACATCCAGGCAAACCTACAGTCAAGCAGGTAAAGCAAGGGGCAAACCAGCTGCCAGATGAGCAGCTGGGTTTCCACAAAAATTATTTCTGGAACTGACATGTTCCCTCAAAATACTTCATTTCCATTAAATTGTTTTTTCTTGGAAAAACTGTCTAGCTGGAAATCTTTCAACTAGTTCTATCAGCCTGCACGTGTACATAGCAACAAAAGTCACCTTGGTTTACTACAGGTAGTGAAAACTGATATTAGCAGCATTGCAGTTCCAGCAACAAAGAGATTGAAAACCATCTCCCTCATTTTTCCCTTTTCCTTCCCCCCCTTTTCCTTCCCCCCCTTTTCCTTCCCCCCCTTTTCCTTCCCCCCCTTTTCCTTCCCCCCCTTTTCCTTCCCCCGTTATTTTATTCTATTCTATTAAAGTTTCCAGAAATTTTGCACAGCATGACTTTGGAAAATTAAAACCTTAAAACTCATCAACGACCTACAGCAAGCTGAAAGAATTAACACAATATTTTGATTTCTCATGACCTACTTTTGACACCACTTTAGCCACCCTCTATAACAAACTGAAGACTCAAGTGGAAAAGGGGAAATTCTCTAGATGAGATGTTACCAGGGAATTGTAAGTTCCAAGAATATCACCATGGCTAAAGATAACAATTTTTATGGTTAAAAAAAAATAAATAAATAATCCCCCCTCCCCAAACCCAACTTATAATAATTACCATCTTGTTCCCATGTATTACACTTTAGTACTGCCACTTAAATCTCCAGGTACACTTTCCACACACAGGGTAATGACTATAGAGCACTGTTACCTCTTCCATAGCACTGATGAGGTTCTGAGTAGACTTGCTGATTTCTCCACCTGCAGCCGGCAGACCACTGCCATGTGTGAAAAAAGCCGATCCTGGAGTTGTGTGCCCGTTCATGTCCACAGTATAACTTGCTTTCACAGGACAGCAAAGTTGGTTGTGCAGGATAAAATACACCACAAAGACATAAAGACCCTGAAACAGAGACAGAAGAAGAACACCAGGGTGTGAAACGAAGGGAGCTTAGATCGGAGTTTGAACGCAGTCATGGCAAAGTCCTATATGCTACAGCAGATGCCTTCCCTCACACCAGCAGTCCGTGCCTCAAAGGGCTGCAGCCAGTTTCTGTAGAAAAGAAGAGAAAAAGTCACCACTCATCAGAGATATGGAAGTTAAAAGTAATCATATCCTGGGCTTCCAGCAAAAAAACACGACCCAAAAGAGTCACTGAAAACGATTATTTGGTTGAACCCACACAGTTGCAAAGCAAAGCCAAGATCCCAACAGCAACAAAAACAACTCGAGTTTCACAGTTGTCATAATAGTGAAAATGTGGTTAAGGGCCGCCTTTACAACAGGACTTGGCTGCTGGCCCCTAGCCACAATTCTGTATTTCCTTACCGACCTGCTGGCTCTTTGCATTCTTGCCCAAATTTCAATCATCTCATGCAAACTGCACTGCTGCCGTCACAGATTCCAAGTTGTAGCTATAAATTAGATTCTCTACGATATCTACTAATTCAGCACTGTCTTTCATTTGTGATTACTGCAAAGGCTCTGCTGTATGCCTCTGCAGTTCCTCTTTAAAACTTGCTAATTTTGACCTTTAGGCTTAGCCAAGAAAAGTATTATAACCATGTCTTTTGTTTGCAAAGAAATCCAGTGATTGAATTTCTTGAATATGAAATCTGACTTTCTCTAATTCTTAAGTTGCACTAATACTCAGGGAAAATAATCCATTTCAATTGATAAATCAACCAGTTCAGTAATTACTGAAAAGGGGGTTAACCAAAAGAGTACAGAAAGAAGACTTCTGGATTCTTCCTGATTGCTGCAGTACAACTACATTTGCCTTGGATTTTGTATTTCACGTTGTCCTCTAGACCCCTGAAACCAGGTGTAATAAGCAGAACAATTTATTGGAAAGGTATCCACGGGCATGAAAGTAATAACTGGGATTATAAACAGTAAAGAGTTTCACCTTATTATATTTGGGAATTCCTGATGGAAGGAATTTTGAAAATATATGGAGACTGCAAATACCCAAAATATATGTTCATTACTGCATCCCTGTAAAACAGGCAGCATTAAGCCACACTTCATGACCCACAGATTCATCATTTCTAGTGCCAAAACTACATGACAAAGCAGTCTGCTCCAAAGTGATACGTATCAGAGGTCAGTAGGATTCAATGGGATTTCAGTCTTAGATGGTCAAAGACTGGAAATACCCTCACACAGCCGCTATAAAGCCATACAGCTCTATCTGTGCCTTTTTTCTAAAAGCAAACCAGCAAACAAAAGTCTTAAAAACAACAATTCTGAGTGAACGTTTTCCCACTTTTCCAGATTATTGTTTTTTGTCACAAGGACCCAGAGCAGTTAACTGAGAGGAAATTTCTTTGTGATACATGTAAGCAAATACATTCCAAAAACCTGATGCAAACACATGTTGCACTTAAGAGACACTAAAAAGGAACTAAAATGTCCTTTCATTCTATAAACAAATCCAAGGACTCTGATGCAGGTCAAGCATAATGAGACCAGCAAATGGATTTCTTTTAATTTAAGTTGTTTAATGGATGTGAAGAGGATAAAAAACCCAAGAAGAACAGATAACAGTGACGACACTGAATTCAGAGCAGCCTCTGGCGTTTTGGTCTCTGAGGACCTAGCCACGAAAGCTGCACGTACGTTTCAAGTGGTTTTGTACTTTTCAAGAAAACCCATTAGCTGAAAACGCTGCACAGCCCTGTCTTTCAGAATTGCAGGGACACGTTGCTACGCAAGGTCCAAAGTGATGTCACTCTCCTGTGCAGCTCCAAGTGTGGACACTCACTCTTTGAAAACAAATAAACAGGGAATAAAGTGCCACAATTACCCCCTTAATTCAGACTGGTGTCCTGATTTAACTGTCTGTGTGTTTCAGACAGTGTTATTTCTGAGGAACTGTTGTTCTGCCAGAACCATAGAAAGACATTTTGGCACCCAAAGCATCCTTGCTGCCACCCTGCCCCTGCTGCCGCCACTTCTGCCCCTCGCTGTGGCCCAGCGATGCAGACCCTTGTATCCTGGGCAGCAGGAGCCAGCATCCCTGAGATGCATCGCCCCGTGTGGCACTCCTGCTGCAGCCCTCCTTTCACAGAATCACAGAATTTCCTAGACTCGAGAAGACCGGTAAGATCATCTAGTCCAATCGTTAACCTAACACCGACAAGCCCACCACTAAACCATGTCCCTGAGCACTACATCTACATGACGCTTAAATACCTGCAGGGATGGGGACTCCACCACTGCCCTGGGTAACGCGTTCCAATGCCTTTGCGTTTTCTTGAGGCTGAGAAGGAACTTATGTGCAGTTCAGAGAACTCCTATGTATTGATGCTGACGGGTGATGAGACAACTCCTCTGGGTCCTTCCATAACAAGAACATGGACCAAGGTAGGTTATTTGGCTTGTCTAACAACAAGGAGGAGTCATGGGCTGAGTTAGCCAATAGAAACAAAAATTATGATGTTTGCTTCTCCCGCTTTTGTAAAATACTACTGCAATGCCTTACAAACAGAAGCTTATAAACTATTGTAACTAAGAGAACCCAACAGTCCTAAGTAGGTTATAGGTTAACACAGGAACTGTATTGCTGGGTATAAGATTTCTTGCTCAGCTGGAAGAAAGATGGAACCTTCTTTGACCCACATTCCTACCCAAATCTAGAGTCTCAGGAAGATACGCTCTGGAAAGGTGAGTTCTTATGTGCCATCATTGTGGTTTTCTTTGAAGTATCAAAAGGGGTTTGTGGTCTTATTCTCAATACCTTGTGTCTCTATGAGAAACCACTGCAACTGAATTTGGGGAAATCAAAAACAAGGGAAATGGTCCTGCCCAAACAACACCGAGTTCCAATGAGCCTAGATATGAAGAAGCCGTGGATCAAGTCATGTTGATCCATGGTTATTTTAGCACCAGCAGCTACCAGGCTGTTTACTCTGAAAGAGCACGGGAGGATGCAGACACTCGGGTTGTGTCAGTGCAACCACAGCTTTCACAGTTTCAGTGTTTTTTTTTTTCAGAGAATTGAATTCTCCTTCATCACACTTTTGGTACTCATAGTGTTCCTTTTCACTTCATCCTTTAATATAGTAAAAATAGTCTTAAAGTACTACGAAAATAAGGCTGTTGGCATTGTAATATATGTTCCACTGTGTTTATCATATAAGCAACTTTGGCCAAGTTGCCACCACTTTACTTTTCCAAGAGACTCACAAAGATTGTCCTTGACAGTTGCCACAGCACATAGCCTGTGAGGACATGCTGAAGGAAGCAGGATTTTCAGTGCGAAGAAGGCTCAGAAATGAATTAATAGCCATTAATTGCTATTAGCCTTCCAATACACAAGAGGTGGTTACTGAGAAGAAGAGAGGAGCATGGCAGGAGAATGAGACATACCAGTCCTAAGTTGAAACAGGGGAGATTCCAACTGGATATTTACTATGAGGCTAATAGGCTCTGGAACAAGTTGCCCAAAGAGTCTGTGGAAAGTTCGTTATAGGAGAAGGAGGGAGGTTTTCCTGGTACGTTTTATAACTTGTGGGAGGGTTTTGTGCATGTATGTGTGTGAGGGGGTTTCTCATACACAGCAGCTTGATTTATTTATTCATTCTGCTGAGTGACAGCCGCAGGAAGCTAGTAAATTAAGGACAAACTTCCATAGCTGTCAATAAAAGGAGGAAATACGTTTTACACTTCGTAAGATCACATGCAATCCTGGTGGACTGATCCATAGAAAACCTTCACTGAGCATTTGACACTTGTCTCTCTGTCTCTTTACCCTCTAATTCTGCATGTTCCAACTCACTGTGCTGCCACTGTAGTGTGTCTAAATTTGGAAATTGAGATAACTTTGCTAATGGTAATGAGGAAGGACACAACAGACTGTTGGCCATTAACAAACCTCTTCTTTATCTCCTGTTCACACACACTGAGAGAAAGCCAAGATGCATGCTGCATCCTATCATTTTAAATCGGTCTTGTAAGATACAGGACTTTTATTCCTCTAATGAACACAAATACACCAAGGCATTAGATTTTATTTTTTTTTAAACTAAAATACTTCATAGTTCTCACACATGTATTTTCATCCGTGGCTGAAATGCCCTAGCCCGAAATTGCAAAAACTGTTTTTCCAAGGCAAAGTGGATTCAGATAATGTCATCTATTTTAGAGGAATGGTATTTATATTTATAAAACTAAAGTAACTTTGCAGGACTTTTGGTAAAGAAAAGTCATTTGAACACTCCATTTGAACAGTTCTGCAACCTATTTCATGGTATTTATCAGCACTAAAAAAAATTTTGTGCGCTCTACAGATGCACTCCATGAGTTCTTGTTTTCATTTGGAAAATTTTATTTGATAACTATCATCATGTGACTATATCACTAATCAGGTGACTGTATCAGTAAAAGTATTTTATTTTTTTCAAAAGAGAGTATGTTAAGTGAAATCAAGGCTTGAGAAGAAAGATGGTATCTTGTGTTAGACTGCAAAAAAGACCTCTGTCCAGAAATAGATCATTCTGACCCTTAGATCACTGTGACTACAACATCACTATTATTTTTAAAGTCACACATTTATCAGTGCCAGGTGTCTCCGCCAACAGAGGAGTGGTCTTTAACTCAGATCAGCTTTTAAGACTTGCTGTCTGTAGTCACTGTAGAGGAACTTCCGCATGCTGGTTTACGCTTTGATTAGTTTCACTTTAGTTATTAATCTTATCAGGGTGAGATTTAATCTTATTGTCTGTCTGGACTGCGCTAATTTACTCTTGGCAGCCAGTTTGCTTGTCAGTTTAATGGTCAGGCTGGGCAGCTGTAGATGGCCACGGGTGCTGCTGCCATTCCTGGTGGCACCTTAACGCCTTAGCTGACTTCTTGTGAACTTCCTTGGGCATTTCACAAATTTACTGGAAGTTCTTGTG